CTGACAACCTCCAGTTCAGTGACAATGTACTAGAATACACTGTACCCTTCATATCACTGAGAAAATTTCTTGCCATATGCAATAAAATTCAACAATGCAATAAAACATGTACAAATTCAACAAAGATACATTCTTTGTTTAAAACACTAAGTGCAGTGAGCTTGGGATGACCAGGGCCAACAACAGAAAACAAGAAAAATGCAGGATTTGTACTACTGGAAGCATCTCAAAGCAAGGCTGCTGCCAAGTCATATAGATTGTATGAAAGTAGTAGACACGTTGTGCCAGTCTGGAACTGTAAATACATACCAGAGATGATAGGGAAAAAAAAAACATGAAGAACCTCCTTCACTGAAGCATGTGCTCTCAAATCCAGGACCTAAATCACTACAGACCAGTTGAGGTTTGCAGGGATTTCTGGAAATTGTCTAGCCCAGTGCCCCTGCTCCAAGCATGGTCCCAAAGACTTCACCAAAGGGATCCAATTTGTTCCAATCACTGTACTTCAGTAAGATCAAGGAAGAACAGTATTACGGGGTTTGCCTTTTCCCAAAACAATACAATATTTAAGCATGCATTTCATGATAATTTTAACCCTATTTTGATGAATTCCCAGGCACTGTGCTGAAGATCACAATCACAATTTTTTTTTTCTGATACAGGTTTCCCCAGTACTACACAACAGTTTTCTGGATAACGGCATCAGTAGTGTAAGAACACAATAGCTCAAGGAAATAGATACGGCAGTTTACAAAAAACTAAAGATCACAATATTTGTGGTAGGGATTGTGTCTCCTCTGTTTCTGTGAAGACTTTTCACTCTTGTGCTCAATTATAGTATCTACTGTGGGGTGAACATTACCATTATTTTTAAAACATGCTGAATTTGAAAGACCCTCAGAATTCAGAACATACAGCAACTGCCGCCTGTGTTGTCATTATCTTCTTGAAACAAACTCAAAGATCTGATGAAGATGCAAAATACAAGCAGTTATGGTAATATGACAGAAGACATGAAGAAATGGTATAGAAAAATTAGTAAAAATGGAATCTTAGCATAGACTGGGGTTACATTTAACACAGGAAGAAGTTCATTAAGTCCATCTCTAGAGAAACAGGTAGTGAGCAGCAACAGGCAGACAACCATGTGAAGTAGTCCTTCAGCAAAGGAGAAACTGAACACTGAGCTACAAGCATGCTGAAAAAACAGAGAGAAGTAGTGGGTTCACACACAAAGTCCTTGATCTGGTCCTCAAGAAAGAACCAACCGTGCTCACAAAACCAGGACGGTGACCAGCAATTACAAAAACTAAAATTAAAAAAAAAAGGGGGGTTTGGGGAAGTGGCATACAGGCACTACTGTAACAAAATGGTTTTGTTTGAAATTATTTCAGACACAGAGCAACTAGTCATCAACCGATTAGAATGCAACATATGTTCCATTAGACAGCTACCAAACGCCTGAACACTCAGCTGCACTGGGGATAATAAGCTCCCATTTGCTATAGGCACTGTGTGTTCTTTTCGGTTTACTTCTAGTGGCAATTAACCTCCCTGTTATTAAGAAAATTGAGCTAAAAGTGGAAGACAAACACACTCATTTGCAACACTGAAGAAACAAGATCCTTTTACATTCACCCATTTCTTTAAATGTGTTTTTACCTCTGAAGCTCTTTTAGATACAGTGAAATAAATGAAATCTTCCTCCTAAATTATCATTTCCCAAACTTCTCAGGCAGAAAACCCATGCAACTCTCACAGGCCCTTTACGTGTGTGGGCTTCTCTTTTGCAACTCCATCTCCTTGGAGTTTGCATTCCCACTATAGGTTGTGACCTCTAATTTGGGACCACCATCTTAAATCCTGCTATTGGAGATAAAAATCTGACTTAGCATATACTTTCTAAAAAACAAAGGGTATTTTCTCTGACAAATATTTAAAAAAAAAACCACCACAAACACTTAGGAGTATGAAGAATACAGTACTCTTCTACTGAGCATTTAAATGCATGTAAGCAATCCAAAGCAGCAGACAAGAAAATTCATCCCCAATTAAAGCAAAGATCATCCAATTCAAACAATCAAGGAAAGTTTTTACTCTCAAACCTCCAAAAACTATGGTAATTTGTTTCTCAAGTGGAAAACCAGGAACAAACTCAAATAGCAGCCGAGATAACTTGAGGCCCACATGAGAGCAGTGCAGCAGCTGGAGAGCTTGTGGAGGTTACCTGCTGGAGGGGTGACAGTGTAGAAAGAAAAATGAAGAAAGAGCAGTTTATTTTATTGTGGGGAGTGTGAGGTCATAGTTTGTGCAGAGTTAGGAATGCTATAAATGACACTGATCTTCGCCCAGTTTAAAAGGAGAACAGCCTGCCATATCCTAATGGGATTGTGCTGGATATTTTAGTTACACGTGAGAACATGAAATGGAATTTGCAGAATTACCTGGTATCTGCCAATGTCTCTTAACCCCAAACAGCACAAGCAGCAGTGTACCTCTGTTCCAACCAGTGCTCAGCTGACCTCGTCCTCTGACTGCAGAGGCATACAGAGAACTGCATGTTACTTATCTGCTCTTGCAAAGTTCTTTTTTTTCCATTTTTCTCCCAACCTGAGTTTACAACCAAGTTCCTGGGCTTTAACATACGTATACTACCAGTGTTCTGCACTTGGGGTGCACCATCTTTGCTGCAATGTACAAAACCAGAGCAAGATAACATTTTTCAATGCCAGAAAGAAGAATGAGGAGATTTGGGCTGTACAGAGTTAGAAAAGTTGTAGGTTTTCAAATAAAAGAGCTAAGAGAACGTGCAAGATTTAAGCAGTCTCTGCACAGATGGTACAAAAGCAATCTGATGTGAACGACACTCAGGTCACAGACTTTTGTGATAGGATTTTCTGTGCTAAATCAGAACTTAAAGAACATGTTTTATGTTTGCAGGTAGACAGCTGTAACAGCAGTAATCATTCAATTACAGACAACAGGCAAGGCATTTTGAGTAATCACAGGGAAATGAGGGAAAATATCCAGAAGACCCTGCATTCAGGTGTGGCCCTCACAGCTCACTGTTGCTAACACTACTAAGATTCCCAAACTTTTTTGGTAGCTTTTTTTTTTTTTAAGTTCCACTTTATATACGGGAATTAAAACAAAAACCCATTAGCAACAACTGGCAGAAAAATACTCTTCTGAGACATAATCAGCCTCAACAGAACAACTCGATCCATGTCTGTTCCTGCATTTGAAAGACCAGATTTTCCTGGGGCAGATTATGGTAACCTTTGCTCATTTGTGTTGCGTATATTTGGATGCATGAAGTGTGTTAGTTCAGAACTTGTCAGGGCTTGTAGACTCACAGAAGAGTTCTTTGGACTTCGTCCCTGGGCTGGCTGGAAACTCAGATGAAGGCTTGGAAGCAAAGGAAGGAGAGCACTTAGGAGATCAGACTTGCAGAATGGGACAGGCTGTCCAGCATCAGTCTCTACAGAGGCACAGATCCCTTCTTTCACCTTCCCTCCTTGGCATAAAATTGTACTGGGAATTAGAGCTTATTTCTTGAGCCAAAAAATGTTTTGGATGTTTAATGGCTTACTACAGTTGCAGCTTCTGTCCTTAGTTTGAAGTATACTGCAGTTGTTCTTCGACATTCTTGTATTTTTCTCTGTACTCTTGTTTGAAAAAGGACATTCCAACCTTGTATAACTACCTCCTAGAAGCAATTAATATTAGTACCTAGAAAGGAAATGCAGTATTATGTGTTGTACACTGGCCCAAGTGACTGGAACAGAAATACCTTTGAAGATTAGGGCCTCAGTAACACAATCTCACTGGCATCAGGAGGACAGCAAAATGAGGCCTGTCCTCATTCACCTCAAGACAAACTGTTTCTGGCACAAGGTGTATTTCTTTTAACAAACATTTTCTAAAATTATCTTTGCATAATGATCAGCACAGAGATGAAACAACTGAGGAGGAGCAGAAAAGCCTAAATCCCTCAGCAATATGCACATCAGACTCGAGAAACTGGAGCAGTTGTTGCATCTCTACAAATTCAGAAGGCTCCTACCACAAGAAATAAGAACCTAACTTGTTAAAGCAATTTTTATTTAAGTATTTGGAGGGAAACTTTCATATCATGAGTAAAAATACTAGAGTTGAATGTTGTTAAAAAAAAAGTCAAGATGATGGGCTCTCTGTGCAAACAGCAGTTTCTGATGGAAAGGGGAAGCAACGGTTTTCATAACATACTCCCTTTCAAATAAAAAAATTAAATGCTAGTTAACTGCAGTACATGTCATCATCTTTTATACAGTCAAGAGAACAAAAAACAAAAAAAAGCAATTTAAGAGAATGCAACCTACAATGGAATAAATTCATTCGCAGCCGAGAGAGCAAGACTGCTTTTATGAAAATTACAAAGAAACATGATACAACAAAAATAGGGTGTGGGGAATTTTCCACTAAGATTAAAAATGAAAAAAAAATATTCACTTTTTGAACACCATTATTATTCAAACACATATGAAGTTTCAACCTAGTTTTTTTTCTTACACATGGGAAACACTGTTAAAGTGAATTTTCAAGAGTGAGAAGGCACCATGAACTGTTGGCTGATACCTTTAACGCACACTCAAGAAAGAAGAAATGATCTGGCATGATGCAAAAAATCATTAAGTGTTTATATATATTCATATATCTTTTCATAAAAAAAAAAGCGGCAACAAGTCATTACTTCAGTGCCAAAATGTACTTTTGTCTGGCTGACTGACTCATTAAGATGATTTCTCACTTAGACCTGTATGGTATTTTTACACAGTGGTGAAAGTGGGTGATTTTGCATTGTTGCATTTCATATTAGATTGGTAAATCAAGCATTTTCTAGGTTCTGAGAAGCCAATCTTATGAAGTATTCCTAAACTCTATGCAAATGGAATAATGAAATGCACTGCCTAGAATGGAATACTCGTCTATACGACATGGCCATTCCACTGGATTCAGTTTGATATGTAATGTCTTGTAGCAGATGTTATAACAAAAATAACTTTTGCTTTTTGATTTACCTCACTGAGGCCATTAATGCTGTTCCTATAGCTGGTTTTCTGGAGTTGGATGACACTTCACTGCTGTCCAAAATGAGTTTGAACCTTAACCCTCCAGAGTTTGTTCACTTTGTTGCTTATATTATTGCACTAGCTACTAAAGTCTTATATCTTCCTATATAAATCTAATTGTTCAGAGTGCAGATTCTATATTTAGATAATGAACTGTATGAAATAAATAAAGTAAGGGGATTTTCTGGTCAGAGCTGCTGATATGTTGAATACCTTAATTATTTCTAAAGTAAACAGTTTTGGTGTGTATTCTTAAAAACCTATGGTCATTCAGCATAAAAGCCTTGACATAATACTTTAAGAATGGATTTGTTTTCCTTCTCAAAAATGCATCAAAGAATTGTTTTAAATACAGAATCTGTGAGGCTTCCTACAAATTCATCTAAATCGTAATACAAACACAGTTTGTAATTCAGATAATATAGAAAGTTCTCTAGTGTCCATTGAAGTAAGGTCCCCAAAATGCAGTCTGTTTTGTTTCTGAATGGGAAAACATTGCAAAACATTAAGCGGTTCCACTGGCTGAATAGGAGAACTGAGGAAAATGAGGTCTTCGCTCGTTATCTACACAATCCATGCTGTCATCTGAAAAATGAAAGAAAACAGTAAACAACATTTGCTACCTTTCTGATTTTAAGTAAACAAACAAGTGAGATAATGCACCATAAAGTTATTTCAGAAAATTTCACTGTTGCTGCCTTCCTCCACAACTTGAAAGGACAAAGAAACAGGAACTCTTAAATCCCACCCCATTAAATGGGCATCCCAGAAGATCCTCACTGTTGCATGTAAATAGTTGTTCAGATGTCCATTTAAAACTGCTAAGAGCTGCATTGCTTAAATCTGTATTCAGTGTTCTGAATTTCTGGCAATTGCTATTTCAGAGCATCATTAAAAGAGCTACCACGAGAATAAAATATATTTTGATCAAATATGGACATTAGTCCATACTCAACTGACTGCTTGCATATACATAGAGCGTGTGCAGAAGTACACATGCAAAACTCATTAACAGAATTATTTTCCAGTGGGAATGTGCAGATTTGGAAAAGACAACAGTACAAGAATTTCACTGTCTTCTAAAAGAGGTTTTTCATTTCCCAAACTGGAAAGACATGTAGAAAGTTTCAATTTACCAACTTCTTGGTCAAATACATATATGGAAAACCAGAAAGTTTAAACTGATGCTTTTTCACATGGTCTAAAGAGACGAGGTAACATTACAGCAAATTATTTCTGGTGGTCTGGAGAACACAGTGGGAAGCATTTCGGAAAACTTTACCTTGGTCAGGAGGAGTGATTGTTATCATCTGTGCTGTAAATTCTTCATCAAAGTATCTCGTATCTGTTTCAGATGTAACTTGTGGCTTAAACAGAGGTACAAGCTATGAAAAGCAAAAACAAAAAAAAAGTACTGTCCATTTACAGGTTCTTGCAGTATGGTTTGAAACAGGTAGAATTTGAAACAGAGTTATAAGCTACAGTGCCTTTTCCTACTTTCCTAAAATAAATTTTAAAAATGCCAGTTCATAAAGAAGGAACCATATACAGTAAAAAGTATTTAGTTAGGTGTGCACTCCCTATTACTGGGACATTTAAGGCATTTTGTCTCTAGGATTTAATTGCACAAATTAAAACCTAGAATCCTAACATTTCTTCAAGTAATAAATAACATGCTCACAAATGTTTAATAGTAATAGTATATACTGGTTCCCCACCTAATTATATGGAAATGGTCAACTGCATCTAGTCAGATTTATGCTTGAGGGGGATGAAAACGAGTAAGATGTTTAGTGATACCAAACTGATCAGTTAGACTTGCATATCGCCACAAGGGTTGTAACGTTCACAAAAAAACTTCAGCTACAGAGCTACTGTGCCCATGCAGCTCTGTCTGCAACTGTGCTGTAGGTCTGACCAACCTAGGGAGAATTTAGGACAAGGCAGCAGCAACATTAAGCTTTTATACTCCCGGTCCCCAAAAGCAATTTGGTATCAACTCTGAACTTAGAAAATCTGAGCGCTTACAAAAAACTGAGCACACTTAGCAGTGAACATTCTCCTCTTGTTACACCACGAGTCGCACTATTTGGGTTTTATTCTTGATGCTCGCTTGGGCAGACAGGCTAGAAATCATCTGTGTGTACCTAGGCAAGCTCTGGCAAGAGGAACTCCAGATGGAGCGGAGCTGCTTGACTGGGGCTGGAGGAGGAGTGCGCCTGGGAAGTGGGGTGGCGGAACTGGTTGCATACAGATGCACAGAGTTGGAACACGTACAATTTTGGAGGGCAATGGAGCCGGGATTCAGACCTCACTCACCTCCTCGCTGCGTGATGCGGTAGAAACAGAATGTAAACACTGTTCTTAGCCCTCCCACAGAGGACATGTAATAGCTCAGTGCTGGGCTTCAGTTCGCCCACCACTGGGGTTAAGCATGGCCATCTTTTAATAGCACAGAGCCACACCAGGCAACAATTTAGAAGCGTGATTGAGGAAGTATACGGCTTCCAATCTGAAACTGCAGGGAAAGGTTTATCAAGGCAAATGGTAAATGGCTCCAACTGGAATTAAGCAGTGACCCCAAGACCTGCACTTCTGCTTTTACAGAAATAAGAGCAACACCAACAAAAATCACTACCTGGAAAACATCAGCAAATCTTGAATGTACCAAACACCTCTTCCCCACCCTCAAGTCTTCCTCCAGCTTAGATCTGAAGAATCACTTGCTTGGCAAGTTGGTAAGTAAGAAAAGTGCTAGCTTCAAGCTCCCTATCACCAGGATCATCTTTCTGAGCTGTTTTGAGAGGACCTAACAGAGTGTTGTCCTGTCTTACAAACAACAGTCCAATGAAGTTCCTTCATTTTCAATGTAAAGACTTTAAGAAATGCAATTTACACATAAGGTAGTATTTCCAAATAAAAAGAAACATTTACTTTTTTAAATCAATCTTTAAAAATTAAGGGACATATAAATTTTGTTTATTATAAGAGAGCACAATTATAGTATACATTCATCATAATTTTTTTTTTTAATTACTAATGATCCTCTGGGCCCATCAATGGCTTAAAGAAGCCTGGCAAATGTTCCTGTCAAAAAAAAAATTAGGTCCTCATAAGTGGTCTTCATGTCCTGAATTTAGAAAGGAAAAGGAAACAGAATATCCCAAAGACACAAGTCACTCTGAGCCCTACAGTCCTCCTGAAGCTACTGAAGAGGGAATGCTATTAACATTATAATGTTAATAACACTATTCACAATCAAGTCACACCAACATATTATATGTAAAAACCCTGCTGAGGATGAGCATGCATTCTTTCACATTTTAACTCTATTCTCTTTCTTTTCCCTATAGCAGTTTTCTGCCTACTACTTAAAGTGAACCTTGGTTTGTTTTTGACAAGCTGTGCGTGCACCCGTGTGTGAAGTTCTATCTGTCCTTTTAAGCTAATGGTGGTTTTGGCACTCGCAATGCTCTAGCATGCTGTGCACAGCACAGAGTGATTTAGGACTTGGGCACTGCAGCAGACACCTGAACTATGCACAGCAGAACGACTCAGAGCAGCAATCCTAAGTCAGAACACGTGTAATGGGCTAGCGCTGCCTGTATCATTTTCCTTTTTATTTTAGTATCTGTTAAAAGCAATTTGAGACAGATTATGATGCACCCACAAGACAATTTTTTTTTTCCCCTAGCTGTCAAATTCAGAACACTAAGCTGGAAACAGAGTAGAAGCCGCAGAAAGCTCTAACACTGGCTTTACCAAGCAAATATGTTGCTTTACTGAAAAGCTGTCACTGCAATAGCTCTGCAGTTCGACTGGCAGAGAGGTGCCACCTGTAGCCTCCCACTGCTGCAGACCAGCATCATACCCACAGGCTTATGCTGGTTTAAGAGACAAAAAAGACCGGGGAAAAAAAAATGTGATTAAAATCTCATTGTGTATGTTTTGCTTGTGGATGGGCAAAATATTGCAGATTAAATCACACCTTTCTTTGCATCAGAGACAAACGCCACTCTTCCCCAGGAGAGTCTAACGAGTATTTTAAATTCTTAGGACAACCCCAGTTATTCAAAACTCCTTGTAATTCAAAGCAAAGCTATGTTTCCAAAAAGCTTAATTACAAACTAAATGTTCTCAGTTACCCCAAACCTATATTCATAAATATATTGCTCCATTATCTGAAGATAGTAGGTAACCAAGCTTAGCACATAAACATCTCTAGGCGGCTGACAAAATTGAGCTTTTATCCCTGAGACTGCAGTTCAGGTAAATGCTGCAAGATTGGTTTTGGACCACCCAGAACATAGGCATCAATTACCCACAGACTTTTTGAAATCTCTTCATTTGCACAGCACGGCTATTTCAGACGCACATGCTAATGGGACAGGAGCAAAAGCAGAATCTAGCCTCCTTGGATACGCCATGGTCAGCACACTGTTTTCACCAAAATATGTAACGTTTGGAATTTCCTGGTAGTTTCCACAACATCTGAATCAGTACTACTATGGGACAACTTATGAAGGCTTTCTCAGTCTTATGGAGAAATAAATGGCCTTCAGCTAGTATGATTTATCCTCCATTCATCTAACCAGGACTGGTTAATAATAACTTCACTGAAGACATCTGAACAGGGGATAACCTCCTGTTTAGAACAGTCATTCAGATCTACTTTTTACATGATACTGAATAAACTCCACGCAACTCCCTCCTGCCCTCATGACCGCAGGCAGCTCTCTCTCAAGTGATGCTTTGAAAGGACAGAGGTCTAAACTCTTTCTACACTTTTAAGCCACAAAAACTTACTTTATGATCTTTCAGTTTCCTTTAGCCATACAAATCTGTGAGGAAGTGAAAGAAGAGAAGGAAACAGAGCACTCTTTGTAATCGTATACAGCCACTGGACAATTCTCCCACTACAGTATGGAAACCAGTGGTGTTATGCTCTATTTTTTTAAGAATATAAACATGCTAACAGATCATTGTATTAGTTTTACTGAAAGAATTAAAAGAATCAAAACTCAGTTTCTGCTAAGTTTCTTACCTGCTCCCACCAACTGGAGGGATAAGTAAACTGTATTTAGAGATCAAATGAGATCTGGTATCATGAGGGGCTGCAGGGGGAAGGAGGGAAATTGGGAAAAGCTGAGATCAAGTGAGATCATGTGGCACCAATATATGGGAGAGTTGAATCACCAGCCCCACATGTTAGTTAGCTGCATTTCATGTGAGTGTTATGGAAAATGTGGCTGGTGAGATTCAAATGGGAGAGGACAACAGTAGATCACCCTAAGAGCACAATGCAGGGCATCTTGGAGGAGTGGAATGAGTTATATGTGAATGAAGGGACAGTGAGCCATAGACAACTCATGAAACACACTCATACGGAAAGGGCTGGGCTCTTTGACTTCCATGGCTCCCACTGGAAAGCCTACAAACTCAGTGGGTCTCAAGGAAAACCAGTGAGAAAAAACATGAAGTGCAGATACGTCACATCAGCCCTCTGTCACCAAAAAAAAAAAAAAAAAAAAAAATTAGGCTTGGATTGATGTAAAAGCCTACAGTTCTCTACACTTGCCTATTCAGTCTAATTTCATCATTCAAGACAGGAAAAATGGAAAAGGAACAAACAGCCCACCTTCCACTACTGCTTCTAGGAAATTTTGCTTTAGATGCTCAGGAACCAACAATAACTCCTGGGCTCACACAAGATACATCAGCTGACAGCAAGGAATGGCAACGAGCATTCACAGGAGAAGCCATTTTAAGGGCTTATATACTGTCTAAATTGGGAAGCGATTACAACCTAATTATTCAGTCACAGAAACAAGTATCTCATTGAGAGATACTCCTCTCATTGCAAAAACAAACTTTGGTTCTGAAGTAATCCTATTACAGTACTTTAAGAAACAAGAAGCAATTTAGCTTTGTTAAAAACAATTGCAAACCTCTTCTGTGGAGGGCTTCTGTGTACCTTACAGAGGGCAACAAAATTTGAAACATTCAGTATATCCACACCTACAATTCGCATTAGGAGAACAGTTGTATAAGTACCTTTTTCTCGTATACGTCTTGCCAAACAATGCCAGCAAAGAATTTGTGCTGCATAATCTCCTTGGCATCATCAGGACCGCCACCTAACCTGTTTGGGCAAAAGAAGTAATTAAATGTTTGAGTACAATTATTTTTCTCATACAATTTTTATTAAACGGTAGCAAAGAAACTCTGAGTTTATGTAATACATTTGGGAGCAGTTCTAGCATTTGCTTCCTATTTGTTTACTGTGCAAGGGCTGCGGGATAGTCTATTTTAGGCTTCAACACAGTTCCACTAAAAGATTTGAAAATATGCTAACAAATAGAATTAGAATAAAGGTCTCTCTTAAACAAACAAACAAAGGAAAAAATAAACAAACACAATTCAAAAGATCTGCCCTTCAGGAAAGCTGCTGTCCTACGGAACACAGCAGATCCTGCAAGTAGAAGGTCTGAGCCACACACCCTTCTCTCTTCCTCAATTAACAAGTGACCACCCCTTACAATTTTCTAGAGCAGAGCAATGCCAGCAGTAAAACTGAGTTTGATTTTGAAGTGTAAGAGAGGCAAGGATTTTTAAGACAAACTGATCTATGCAACCTGATTTAAATTTCCATTAAAGAAAACAGTTGACAACTGCAGTGATAATACCATGTTGTATGCAAATCCTTTCTCCTCCTTGGCTTCACAAAAGCACAAAGGGTGTTTTATTGACTTAAGGTATATCAAGATAAAGCACTTTTATTCCAAAATAAAACTGTCCACACAGCTTATAGATGCAATCAGTCTAGTTGCAGTCTTGAGCTAACAGATGCTTAAATTTTGCTGTGGAGGTTAAAATGTTCTCTAAAAGACTGAACCACATCTGCAAGCAAAGGCACGCGCTGCAAAAACAAAACACATACCGAGTAATCAGCAGGAGACTTACTTTCAGGTAACAAGGTTAAGACAACATTCAGGATTTTAAGTACAAGAGGTGCAACCATGTTCATCCAGGCTGACCTCTAGTATCTGCCTGTTCTCTGATTGTTGGTGCCACCGGCAAAATGAGATATTATCCCTATTTTGAGAGCTTGGAATGATGGCTCTACATGACCAAGGCTAGAGCTATACCGCTACAGAAAAAAGGGCTAAGGACTGTTCTCTGAACCTGAAGCCAAGCTGCCTGGTCAGGCCCCATCTGTGCTGCACAGCAGTTGGCCCTGAATCTCCTCTGGGCCACATGCGGTAACCCTGCGGCCCTAATACATGATTATTTGGTAACAGAGGAGATGGTTTTGGTTCAAAATACCAAAGATAATGTGAAGGCTGTGCTAAAGCCCATGGAAGCGGTATTTTTACAGCTTGAGACTGTACTGTGTGCTCTGGGATGTAGCTTGAAGGCACAATGCTATTGGGACAGCACTGGATGATTGATTAGCCCATGGGAGTCAAATATGGTGACACTTTGTCCATACTGCCAACTGGGAATGGATCCTGGCGCATGCAACCCTCTCAGCCATGCCCAAGCACCGTCTTCAGAGAATGCAAGCTGGCAGAGGCCACAGCTGTAACAGAGAGACCAAAGAGCAGAGTTGCCTGGCAGTTCAGAGCCCATGCTTGCTTCCTGGCCCTCTTCCACTTAGTGGCACAGCAACCTAAAGGGTTTGCTCCTTCACGATCCTTCAGGAAATATGCAGTGGAACAAGGAACAGGTCCCCAGTCTTCCAGCAGCAAAGCATTACATGACGCTCTCCTTCCTCAGGTAAGCTCTAAGACCAAGCCTAAGTTCATCCTAGAGCCCCACACGCCAAACCAAGCTGGCAGATGGCCCTCCCATCTGCCTGGCAGCATGTTATACAGCTGCCACGTTATACAGCTGCAGAGCAACCTCTGTGAGTAATCATCTCTTGGCTGGTTCCTCACAGGTCTAGAGGCTTTGCCACATCTCTATTGGGCTCCTAGATGCTTCTCCAGTGCAGATGATGACGGTTGGTGAAGAAGACAGTGGATTTGATCCTCTTTATCCAGAGATGTCAACAGACTGCACTTCCACACAGAAGGTCAGGAGTGACTATGAGCTAAGAAGAACCTCAGTTGTGTTTTGCAGAAGCATGCAGGAAGGCTGGCTGGCTGCGGCCATATATATATGACTGCTTTGGAGAATACGCTATCTAGCACAAGCCTTTGTTCCATGAAGGGCAAACACATACTGAGGGAAATGCCAAGAAAAACCCCAGATGTTTTACTTACCTTTTAAAAATCTATACTATTAAACAAATTGCATTCAAAGTGCATGGGGAAACAATAGAAACCTCATATTTTGGATATGGACTTATTCCAAAATACACTCTTGTTTTTCAGAATTATTATGAAAGGACCCTCTTAAAATTAAATCAGCGCCTAACGCAAAAATCGTGGTTAAGCACCAGTGAGAACTGAAAGAGCAGTAGGTTTGTCTTTCGTAAGGACATGCAACAACTGAAGAAAAATATAGCAGGAATAAAAGTCTTGAAAGGAGTCTTGTACAATAAAGCTAAATTCTGTGCATTTAAGACTTTGGACAGAACCAAAAATAGTATAAATAGAACTTAAAAAGAAAAAACTACTGAGATTTACAGTATACAAGGAAATATAAAAGAAAGTGTAGAGGCCAAAAAGCAATTAAAAAACCCCAAATAACCCCTCAAAACCCAAACTTCTGTCTAAATGGGTCTCCTTAAAAAATACCTGCCAAACAATTCTGGGTATTCATTTAACCTCCATCTATATTTGAGAGCCCTTGTTTCTATATTTCAGCTAAATCTCAAGGAGAAAATTTATTAATAAAGTGAAACATCAATATTAAATTGAAACCATTTCCAATGAAACTGTGTATTGCTTGCAAGTTCCTTTAATCACTTAATGACAAATGTCTGTGCTCCACAAATCAAGGGCAATCAGCTATCATTCCAAAGATAAATCATGTGCACATATTTTTAAAAATTTATGTACTGTATTTTTTATATATATATATAGTGTATAAACACACAGTCAACAGTTAAAGTATTATTATCACAGGCCAGAAGATTGCAATTAGTGGATCACAGGACAAATACTGTTTCTCTACTTGTCCATGTAAAAGTAAACAGTACTCAGCACCGAGGTCCATTCCCAGCTCTTTAAGATGACTTCTAGCTTTATAGTTAAAAAGTTTCTACAGTGGGGACAGCTAGTCTCCAACGCAGGAAGGCGGACAGCAACCGCCTTCACTCTGCCCTGCTAAATAATCCCATTAATAAGCTTGTCCTTCACCATATTATAAGCCACACTACAGATTCTGATGGTGGGTGAATCCTTATCTGAAGAGACTGTCATACCTTTAGGTCACAGATTACTGTTGTTCACAGATTTACACATGCACCATCCTCATCTGAGAAGACAGCCACAGTTTTAGGCACTACTTCTGTTGCTGTTCTGTCTTCTCTGACTTCTGTCTTCGACTCCCTCCTGCCCCCAAACCTGGTTCTACAACAGTGCAAATAAACCCACTAGGCTCAAGAAAATCAGCTCAGCAAAAGCTACTGGTGTTCACCAGATAGGAGTACACAGATGCATACTTCTCCTTCTCTGATACAGTCAGGATGGAGACTCGTAACTTATTTTACTATGGCCCTTACCTTCAGAGGCCTCTAATAGCCACAGGGAAGGATTTAGGAACTGCATCTACATTGCTTTCCTGCAACTGGCACTATCAGCGCAGAGAAGCTCTGGCTGGTTTTGGGAACAGCATGATCTGATGATTTGGAAGGAAATTTGGTAGGAAAAGGCCACATTCTTCCCAAAGCCCTGTATACACAGCCTTTTGGGGCTTTCCTGCTCAGAGATTAAGACTTTTGGAAAGCCTAAAGCAAATCCTAGCTCTGCGCTGAGCTTTACTTCCCCACTTCTTCATTAACCACATGCATGCAACACAAACATAGCGGATCCAGTAACACTGGAAAAGCTTCCACTTCCCAACATTAGTAATCACTGAGGAGTCGTGTTTGAGGACACTGAGGCTTGGGAAGTCGCTGAACTACTGATTTCTAGAAAGCTTTTTTTGCCTTTTATGTTTTCCTCAGCTTCAATTTACATCTCTTACGGGTGAACTGTTTGAGTTTGTCCAAACTCGTTCTGAATAGCTTTGGGCTTTGGACTAAAATTATCATACACAACAGCTAAATCTCAGTCTACCTCAAAGCACCTGGTGAAACACGTATCAAGACTTGATGAGCAGCCTGCAGTTCAAGTGATACCTACAGTTGTCTGGAGATAAAAACACTTTTGTACTCGGGATACGCACATTTCAGAGCAAATATAAGACACTTGTCATATGTGGTTTCAAAACTCTGGATGCCCACAGGGCATAAAGTCTGCTGCCTAAGAGGACCAGCTATTCAAGGTTACCTCCTCTTGTCTGCTATCAGCTAGCTGGAACCAACTCCTGGCCCCTGCAGCCCCCATGACTGTCACCTCTTCCTCTTCCAACTCCAGCAGCGGCTGTGTGAGCTGCAGACCTAGCTGTGTCAGAGAGGAAGTTTGCTCAAGCCATCTACCCTTCCCATAGCAGAGCACCACAGAGAACACAGATATACTTACATCTTAACTACAAATCACCTCCTTTCACAAGGAAAAAAACCAAGGAGTTTGATTTTCATACAGGTAAAGGCTTGACTGACCCTGATATTCCTGAACATCTGCAGCCAAAGTTGCACTCTGGATGTGGAACCATCATCACTAGAAAGAAGTGAGTGTCGGATCTCTGTGTGGCTGCAAGGACTGACCACCAGTTCCCAGTGACCACCTTCAGTGCTCCAAAGCCACCATCACAACTCTGTGAAGTCATTAAATCTTTAAAGAGGCATTTGTGAAATGCTGCATCTTCTTCCTCAATGGCAAAGTCCAACAGCACCACAGAAGACAGAAGCAGATGAAACAGCTTGTCACAAACCCCATCTGAAAGAGGCTGAACAGCCCTGTCCTATGACAGGGAGCACTAATGCATGTAGTGAAAACACAAGGTCAAAATTCAGAAGAAGTCATCTTGAAGTTCTCTCAAGTTTAAAACCTGCCAAGATTCAGAGCTTGCAAGACACTGCTGATTACAAACCCACCCACCCATCTAAACTCAGCTTGCTTACATGGAGCACTGTGATCCATGCCCACTTTCACAGGTTGCAGTCTCCACAGCCAGAGAAAGAATAATAAAAGTTAAAACAACTTTGCTGTTTTATGTGTGAAAAAATGCTCTGATTAACTCCTTCCATTTGACACATGTCACAAAGCAGTGAAGGATAATTTCAGGTCACATTAGGAGGAAATATTTACAGAATAGATTTTTTCCTTCTTGGGAAAATTAGGGCTCACATTACAAGATTAATAAATTTATATCAATCCCAAAAGAAACTTCAAAATTCCTTTTCTCTTACAAAATGGATTTTATATGACCAAATTTAGAAAACAGCCAAGATTAAAAGCAGAATGCAATTTATTGTTCTTCACGTTTTCCCCATATGCCTGTGAGTTTGAGACTGAACTGGTATTACTGAACGCAGAGTGCTAAGACAGCTTCCATACATCCAGCTCAGGTACAACAGGTAATTTTTAAGACTTAATTCACTGATGCAGGTCACAATGCTCTAGCTCCTTGATATTCAACTTAAAATATCCTTGTCACTGAGCTTTATTATATCAACCTTTTTTTTGTTGTTGTTGTGGTTTTGTTTTGTGGTGTGTGGGTTTTTTTTGAGGATTTTATGGGAAGAAACAACATCTCCCAGTTTCATTTTTCTCATGGTTTTGCCTGTCTCCTCCATCCCACTCTGAAGTTCATCAACAGTTACTAAATGCTGCCAATTCTGATGTTTCTGCCACAGACAACATTACGATGACACCAACTTCTGTCCACCACTGGGCTTTGCGGAAGAGGGGATTTCTGTTGAATTACACAGTGGTTCCCCAAAGCATCATCACTGGGCTAACGTCAACCAGACTATCGCACATTATTTAACTTTTCACTGAATGTATTTTCGTAGCTATCTGGCTGTTTTTCTTCAATATGGCTCCATGAACTCACTGTGAGTCAACTACCAAGTATGCCAGGCACCCACCCCAGCACACAGACCACACAGTAAAAAGAACATAAAACTAGAAGGCCAGGACTCAAGACTTCTACTCCTAGTGCTTCCAGCTCAATTCTCCTTACAGCCTGAAATGCCACTAAGTGCAACGGATTTGCAGAATCACAACTTCAGTTACAAAGTTGGGTGAACAGTGATTGGTGAGAAACCATTATTTAAGAATGGTCCATGATCCAAAAAGCTGGGGAAGCACCAGTGTAATTAGCAAACCGCAGGCATGTGTGCAGTCTTGTCTAGTCTATAGTTATTTCTATCAGCAGCATGAAAATCATCTGTCCAACAGATCAGAGCATCGTTGGTTCCAAGCTTGCAGAAGATACATGTGAAGAAGTGGCTATTTGTATAAAATGAGCATATTGTTGAGTAATTATTGGCATTAGGAAAACCTTGTAATTAGAAACAAGTGGGCATTCTTTGTTTGTAAACAAATTTCATTTTTGTTCAACATAGATGCTCTTTTAAGAACAAATTACAGCAGATGCTGCTTGTGTTTCCAGTGATTGAAAGGCCCCACCTGAATAAGCCACAAAAGGCTCGCAATTGTATTTAACACAGCACTTTCCTGGGCAGGAACTCTGTTGGCAGGGGCTGCAACCACGCTCCCAGAGCGCAGAGCCTGGGGGGGCTGCTAATCAATTACACAACCTTCTCCTGGAGGTCCCCTTGCAGGCACCAGGTTCAGGAGGGGTGTGCAGCTGTTGCGACCCAGTACAGGGATGGCCATGTTCCTGACTACAACTGTTCCCGGTTCCCCATGTCACCCCTAAGTTGAATCCTCTGTGGATTTGCATTACAAGACCTCTCAACAGGATTTTCCATCAAAAATAGTGATGGAAATAGCCTACAGTGATGACAAAAATCCTTGCTACAAGTATCCATGTATTGGCAAACCCATTTTTCTGCTATGTGCATGCACATACACACAGGCAGACTAAACAAACATCAGAAAGCAAACCAGAGTACTCTGCCTGCACCTCACATGAAAGACTTCCTATTTGGGGCCCACTTACTGAGGAAGGCTCAGGACAGCATATCAGGGGCAGAGTCACAATGTTATTTGTTTTTAAAATGTCTGGGTTGACAAGATGGCAGGTTTTTAAACTAATGTTTATTTTTGTGCAAAGGTCAACATCCTTTTAGGATCTTATTCTATTTTCTGTTTGTTAGCCATTGAGGGCTTGGGTTTTTTTGTTTTGTTTTTTTCAGTTTTTAAATCAAGGGTTACTTTTTAAATAATACAGCATAGCAAAAAAAAAACAACAACAAAAAAACAAAAGGAGGAAATAGAAAAAGTAGATTAAGCATGGTATAAACTCCACCACAAACATGGTACAAACACCACCACCTACTGTCCAAAGTAGGCTGCTAAATCACTGGCACAGATTTAAACAAAAATTCAGAAAACTGATAGCAGCCTGAACGGGGACAGAAGACCAAAGTATTCAGTGTAGAGCAGCTTATAACCCACAGCAGCCACTGGATTTGTTGCGACCAAAGGCAGGGTTAGCTTGCTTTGTCCCAGCCTGTAGTTTTGTGTTAATAGCAGCCATCATATTCTGAAGTTCAGCCTTCTGATCACCAAAGCTGCTAAATGTTGCTATTTGTAGTGTCAGTTCATGTCAAAAGTAAAATAAAAAATGAGTAGGTCTACTTGCTGCATGTTGGTGGAGGATCATTTTGGATGGATTAGAAACAAAACTACAGTTTTTTCTGAAATACCTTCCTCTACTTCAAATAAAGAAAAATGGTTGGCACGCGTGCATGCAATAGCCCTTCATGCAGTACCATTTTCAATTGTTTTTCACTGATGGCAATATGGGCATTTCATATGGCAGCATAAAAACAGTCACCTGTCTTGACGATAGTTCTCCTTCATAGATATGTCTCTGCGTAGCACAATTAACAACTTCTTTGTGAAGCCTTTAACAGAATTTATTTTCCTTTGTTTTTTTGGTATTTCTGAGGGCATGAGTGCTTAAAAGTGCTTAAAAGCAACAGTCTCACCTTTGCTTAGGATCTTTCTTCAGCAATCCTGACAAGAGAGATTTTGCTTCAGGTGACAAAGTGCGTGGAAATCTAATCTCCTCCATAAGGATGAGTTCAAAGAGCTTTTCGTGGTCCTGATTGTAGAAAGGGAGCCGGCCACACATCATTTCATACATCACAACTCCTAAACCCCACCAGTCCACTGCACGACCATAGTCATTATCTTCCAGCACCTGCAGAAATGTAAGGAAAAGGCTTTAGAAGACATTCCCAAACCAGGCATGAACACAGAACTCGAGAGGCAAAATTTACCCCAGGAAGCTCATCTTTTCACACGTCACAGCAGAATCTACCAGTGGAGTATTTGCAGAAGATCCATTTGAAAAGAACTGGCATCCACGTTCACCATGCTGGGTGAGCAGAAGGGGGAAAAGGAGGCAGCGGGTACATTACAGCAGCTTCCTTCTCTTCTTCCTCCCACCCTCCCTCACATTATGGTCATGATAAGCACAACCTTCGAAAGCCCAAAGGCTGAGAACTGTTCTCACGTTACAGAGCCAGCTGTTAAATTCTCACTCATTCATCACAAACTGTTCCAAACAGGATCCAGTTTTTCAGAAAAACCCCAAACCACCAACGAGCCAGTACAGGGAGAAGAGAAAAGACCGTCAACCTGTTACTTCACAAGCGACAAGCCAAACATCATCATCATCTTCATATCATCCTGCACGCCCCCAAAGAGTGGCTCTGCACATCCTGAAAGACCACCCACAAATACTAAATGGCTAATCTACACTAAACACTAAGAGCCAGAACGCCACTCCTAACATTTGACCAGCTGTAAGGCTGTAAAACATCAGTCAAATTGCCTGGAAATGTTTCCCCTCTGCCCCCCTCCAAAGGCACTTGCTTACTCGCTCTAACGCTCTTGCCTCTGCTCAGAGGGCTGCAAACCCAGGAATTGTCAGTGGGGTGGCCTTCTGCCAGGTCTCACAGCAAAGGAGTCCAGCAGAGTTCATTCTCCCCTTCCCCTGGGCACTTCTACCTAATAAAGTCCCAGCTGGCGCAGGGACTCCAGACCCTAGCAGTGCCCTCCCCGTCTCTCCTGCTTGCTCTGGAGAAGCCCTGTCATAGTGCACTTCTGATCTTCTGCACTGCAGGCTGCTGAAGGGAGTGGGGAATGTTCTGTGGCTTGTGGAGTGGATGTTACGAGGCCTTCTCTAGACTTTGTGTCTCCTACACAGTTGTCTGTAGCTGACACCAACAGTCTCATGTTCCAGATCCTGTCCTCAGGTTTTAGTTGTCATCTTTACTCCCTTCACAGGTCTGCACTGAACTGCTTACTCTTGCTAAGAGCACAAACCACAACTGCACCACCTTGGTGTTTTCTTGTTGCATGGTGTCTGTGTGAGCTTTACATTGCTACAATTCAGAATACTTTACACTCAAAAGGGTGAAAGAGACAAAGTTGACACAAGTTTAACAAAAGCAGGATCTGAACCTCTTGATAAAGGTTTTGCACATAAAAAGCAGCATCCAGACACTCCACATAACAACTGTTTGCACTCTGCCTCTCTTTATTCACTAATTATTCCCCTTAATTATCTGAACGAGGGAAAGGGCCTGCAGTAAAAATCAAAAGGCTGCCAGGTATTAGATTACCCCACGTTGGTCTATTTACAGCATCCCCTGCCGTATGATTCACACCAAACGACAGCTGGTTGTGCAGCTGCCCCGTATATGTATACGGCCGACACAGCTGCCGGCCGGACAGGATTCCAGGAGCCAGCCCCGTCCTTCCCGAGGCATCGCGGCCCTTTAGCTCGCAGGAGATATTGTGTGACAATGCAGTTACTGCTCTCTGAGTCACCCCGTTCAGTAAGTGCTTCCTGTTCGCGCTCCCCTACACTTGGGCTACCTAAAATAAAACAGTCACGGGGCCTCCGATTTTATTTTTTAAGCTGCTGCAAGAGATGCAATAGGAGAGATTGAAAGAAAAAGAAAACCACAGAGGCCTTTGTTGTGTATGTAATAAATGCTACAGGTGCTTTCGAAATGCAGCAAATACTTCCAATGCTCCTTTAGTAAGCGTCTTAATACTCCGTATTACAATCTAGATTACTAACTACAACTCTATCCTTCACCTCCACTAATTCTAAGCAGAATAGAAAATGCTTATTTCTTCAAAGTTCTTTATCACAATGCGCATGCACTCATATTAGTGATCACACAAAACAGAGCAATGGTGTTAGTATCAAAAATATACCGTAACAAAAAAGGTATTGCACTCATCCGTGATTTCTTGCAACACGCAGCATAGCTGGGGAGCAGTAAAGTAACAAGGTCATTTCACTTAAATTAAAGGATCATCATTTCTTAATGAGCAGCTCTAGACTGCTGTGAGATGGAATTTGAAAGAGAAGGCAGAACAGCTGTAAACATCACAGCCATCAATGCATCTGACACATCAAAGTTGACATGGTTCAGTCAATGTCATCCATGCACAAGATTCCAGTATGAACCTAAAAACAACGATGCAACAACTGTACAAACACGCAGCTATGCCGGATTTAAGTTACAAATGCACACAAGAAGATTGAGACCCCTGCTTTTAAAGATGTATGACCTTACATGCACAGAATATCGCTCGTGCATAATTTCCAGATTTTCTGCATCCTGTCAACCAGATGACAAAAGTCTCCAGAATTTCACATTCCAACTCACAGATGGGATTTGCAAGTAAGGGAGAGAGCTGGGTTAATCAAAAGGATTTGTCCTTCAGGGTTTTGGATGAGCCAACTCATCATAAATATTATAAAGAAAAATAATAGCAAATAATATAGAGCAAAGAACAACATAACACCTGCACAGGGAATCCCCACATTCCCAGTTAGGAAAAAACAAAACCAAAACAATAAATATTTTTAGTCTCTTCATAAAATCCTTGATGAGAAACTGAAGTTCAGCAACTGATTTTAAGAGAGAAGCTAAAATAAAAGCTATATTTATGAATAATAAACACTCTGTCATGTTGCTAATTACTCCCTGCATCAGTAAATCTCAAATTGTGGTGCGTGGACCCCAATTTAGATTCACTGAAAACTTCTGGTGATCTATGGAGAGCTGGCAGCTATCATGAGACTCACTCCACCTCCTTGCTGCAAGCTACTTTGACAGGTACCCATGTTCTTCATTATTACAAAGAGATTGGAGGCCCTTAAAAGCAGCTAGGACTTAAAAAAACAAACAAACAAATGTCAAATAAACAAAAAAAAAACCCACCAAAAAAACCCCAAACAACAGCACACTGTCACCGCTGTGCAAGCAGAGAGCACAAAAGCACTCATCAGCAGAGACATCAGCTCTCAGTAGAAATATTCCTCCTCCACTTCGGTTTTCCATACTTTGTACTTCTCCATACTTCAACTCGAGAAAGGCTTGCAATGCTCAAGTCTCCCATCTCAGAGAAAGGCTGAATCCTGGCTGTGCCAACAATATATAATCTGCCGGCAACCCAAGACTTGCTTCTGCCTGTGCTCTGAGCTGGGTGGAAGTCTTAATGCCACGGGTAGCACAGCACCCACTGCAAGGCAACCAGTCCTTCTGCCAGGCACACCACGTTAACTCAGGCTCAGTGCCCTACTAATACAGCAAGTCTGCTTCCAGACAGCTCAGAGCGTGGGCAGAGAAAACTAGCGTCTGCCTGAAAAATACCATGTATACATATATCCTCTATCACACAACTTCACTTTTGATCTGCCTGTAACTAACTCACAGCTATAACACCACCTGTGTTGCACAACTCTCAGGAGGAGTATTTCCAGAATGAAAGTTGCAAGCACACATTTGCATTTTGCACTTAAAAAAAAAAAAGTAGTACAAAAAACAATAATCCCAAAACATACAGTTCAGGGACTGAGATCCTCTGCTTGGATTTATTTCCTCTGAAATTGAAAATTTCAAATTAACATTGAGAAACGTCTCATGCTCTTACAGTCACAAAACAGTCAGCACTTTTAATGCTCACGACACTAAACACTGCAGAAAAATCTTGGTCTATCCTGTTTCTGAAAACATGTCACCTTACACTGTCTTCAAAACGTAAAAGAACTGGACAATATTTTTACTACTTCAGCGAAGTCTTGTTAATAGCTTTCAAATAGGCCAACACACAGCAAACAAATTGCAAAACAGTCACCAATCCATCACGTAGTATTTGAAGTGATTTTAAAGGATTTTTTTAAAATTAGATTTCTGACACAAGAAGCAAGCAGTGTTCCAGTAAAATGTAAATATATCCTGAAGTGGAAGGAAGATACTACCCTGCCTGAAAATTATCATGTATCATTATGCTAAAGATATGTCCCAGAACATGATGAATAAAAGATTCTCAGTATGTGTTGTTATACAGCAATAGTTACTGTATGAACACATTATAGCACAGGAATTATTCTGTCTCACTACTGCTATCACGGATTGCATTTAAGAAGATAATTTAGTACAATAGCCAACATAAACATACCTCTGGTGCAAGATACTCCGGAGTGCCACAAAAAGTCTTCATCGTTGCTCCATCTTTGATGCCTTCTTTACATAGTCCAAAGTCTGTTATTTTTATGTGTCCATCTTTATCCAGCATAAGATTTTCCAACTGAGAAGAAAATCAAAATGAAAGATTATTATTATGTATAACATACACTGCTCCTGAGCAAGTCAATGAAAGACATGAATTTGTGCAGATCAGTTTTCAACCTTGTTTTCACTGGGGTCAAAATGATAGTAGCTGCCAAAGCACGTATGATGTAAATATACATTTATATCACTTTCCACAGATCTTTAGGGAACATTAGGTAACTAATTTGCAGTCTTTGAGTAACCGATCATATATACAGAAAGAACGCAGAATGCAGACATTGTATTTATGCTTCTACAACATTATCACCAACAGAACACCAGCTCTTTTAAAAATATATTAAGTATTCCTCTTCACACAACTTCATCCCTGCTTTTACTCCAAGTGATTTTATGAAATAGTCTGTACCAGTAAAGAATAGGAAATAAAACAAAATCAAATGCAAGGCTAAGGAACCACTTCCAACGAGACCCTTTACATGAGAATCTGTTTATATATTTACTCAGCACATGGAATTCATCCTAGCCTGCGCCACTAACTTTGAGAAAGTTATGCAGATTTCAGGGCAGAGTTTCTACTGTGTATGAAATCAAGCTCACTTTAAAAGGAATCCTGGTAACATAGGAGACAAAATCTAATCCCAAAATGACTTTGATGTAGCCTGAAAACATTACACAGCATGCTTCATTTTAGATTGCTCCTAGATGAACTACCAGTATCCCCTCATCCTCTCCTGAAAACACTTCTCAAGGGAAAAAAAAAAAAGCGCCATTGTTGCATTTTCCTCAAGAATTTCCCAAGTTTGTTTACCCTGAGATTTCTTGTTTGGTCAGGTTTTTTTTTTTCCTTCTGTGCTTACCAAACAAATAAGCAACCTGAAGCTTATCCAAATTTCTAACTGCAAGTAGGTACTATGAAGATAGTGCTGTGCAGCACATTGCAAGGAAGTGCAACATCCACACACTATGAATTTGTATCTAGCTGATAAGGCTTGGGCTGAAGAACCCAGGATTATGTTCCATCACACAGAAGAGCCAGCAAGGTTTCTCTTAGAACATAAGCAGGCAAATGAAAATGCAACCGAAGTAGCTCAGTACCCCTTCATGTTCTCTGAAATGCTGCCAGGGTCCTGATAAATGCATTATACAACCTCTTAGACTATAAAAGTGTTTAGACATCCTGTAAAGTCAAGTCCAACAGCTGTAATAACTGTTATGTTAAAGTTCAGTCAGAAAATGCTTTCTTAGTTCAGGCTCATTTGCTTTTGTGACTAACAAACAAAATGTCAAAACCCAAAAAGCCTATGAAATTATTTTTCTACATACCTTCAAATCTCTATAAACCACATTCTTCTCTGAATGCAGATAATCCAGTGCTGAAACAATCTCAGCTCCATAAAACCGAGCCCGGTCCTCAGAAAAGACACGCTCTCTTGACAGATGGAAAAACAACTACAAGAACAATAATTCGTTACCTTTAGATTGCACATGTTTCTGAGTTATATCTCACACTTCACAGGCCATCCTGCCTGGAATGTGATATTATCTAAGAGAAAACCCATTCCCATCCTCATCCAGCTGTGTTCCCAAATGTGTTAAAAAGCATCATAAATTAAATTACACAATTATATCTCATATTCAGATGGACAGTGATAACCAGTTTGTGTGCTATACATTCTTGTATGTACAGAAAATTATCAAAAATCATTTTGATTGAACTACAATTATGTATTAAAACTACAGCTTAATGCATGATTTAGAGACATGTTAATACTCCAGCTTTTCCTTCTTGACTAACAGTAGTTTGCTGTTTCTAGTTCTCCCTCCAAAGTAACGCATGCTCACAATATTCATTATTATGTTAAAAGCTGTCTGAAGAGCAACCAGAAAGCAACCTTGCCTTCTTGAATTACTAAATGTCAGATTACAATATGTTGCTGTCATATAACATATAAACCTATACCCAAAATCTCTATTCTCTAAAAATGGAGTTAAGAAAATTAAGAGTCTTAACTCTTAATATTAGTTAAACCTACAAACAGCTCTGTTTAACTGGGACAACTTGGATTTATTAGAATTGCAAACATGGATCTTGGCTAAATAACATCAAGCAGAATTAGTAGTAGCACAGGAAAATCCCAAAGTATTAAACATTATTAGATTTCCCTTACCTCCCCTCCATTAGCATACTCCATAACAAAACACAAGCGATCATGTGTCTGAAAGGAATACTTTAAGGCCTGAAACAGATTTAAACCAAAACTTAGAAGACAGATCACACTGACAGTTATAAGAGCATTTTTAATAGATTTTCAGAAACAGACAGACATGAAATTTTCTATTTTAGTGGACTTTTTGTCCTTGGATCTTACATAATACTTACACTTTCCTGTTGCAGCTGAGGACTGATCCACCGCCAACTTATTTCATTAAATAAATTTAATAAAACACTAAAACAATCCCGTGCAGAAGTGATTAGTAAAGCCTATAATGCTGTGAAACAAAGTCCTGGTCCATTAACAGTGATACAAAACGTACCAATAGCAGTTCTGAAGTTTCCTCCCCAGGCCACAAGCCCCCCCCGACTTTCATCTCACAGACAAGAGGCCACAACCAAACCCCAGAGCACAAGGTTTTACCGCACTGGCTACATGCCCTCTTATATGAAACACATATATATTTACACACATCAAGCCCCTGGGCTCTGCCCTGCTGCCTGCAACTGCTCCCTGTTGACAGCCTGCCAGAGGATTGAGCAATGCTGTCAATATCAATTTGTGAGCAATTCACAAAACAGACGGGATGGAGGGTGTGATGGAGCGTCACAAGGTGCCTTTGTACAGTCCTGTCACATGTATTCCTGTGGCAAAAGTAAGATCAACTTGTTTGCCAGTGTCTTAACTCTTTTGGTCATAACCCAGTCTTGTAGCTGACTTCTCAAGACAGCCCTTGTTTTGAATATTTGTGTTTATGAAAGCATTAAAAAGAAAATACTGCATATGATATCATCGTCTTCATGACTAGGGGTGGCATTTTTAACCTAGACTTATTTTTGCAGAGAAAGGGAGGATCGGGTTTTAGACAGGTCAACAAACATTTACTGATTATACCCAATACAGCCAATATTTACTTCCAGAGGCTACACTTAAAAGGTATAAATTCCAGCTAAGCCCTTGTGTACCTGAACAAAGGAAACAACTGGGATCCCACACAGGTCTCTTAGAAGCCTTAAGCGGTTGGAAATAATTCAGAGCCAACTTGTAATAAATACTAGAAACAAAATCTTGAGGTGGAACTTGGGTATCTGAACTCAACTCAAAGAGACTGATGGCATTGGAGGTCTAAACTGAGAGCACGGTTTGATTTTACAGCTAAGCCAACCCAAAAGGAAAGCAGCAGATAAAGCATGGTCCTGCTCTTCCCTGTCCCATCCCACATGCTCCCACCACTATCCTTTGACTGCTATTACCACTGCTCCGATTCCATAGTCAGCTGCTTCTGGGAGTTTAAAAAAAAAAAACAAAAAACAACAAAGGCAGGCAAAATTAAGGAGTTTTTCCCCAACTATATCTTCCTGAATTTGTTTGTCACAAGATCAGGATCAACCTGATCTCTGCTACAAAGAGGAGACCAAGCATTTGGAGGACAAAGAAAGCAGATATGTCTCTCAGAGATAGCAAGCCATTAAATAGATGAGCCATAAAGTCAAACCACACCTTGAAACACTGTCTTCAAGAAGTACTGAGGACCTGCTCTGCAAGAATCAGAAGACTTCAAAAAGAACTTTAATTTGTGCTTCCCAAAAATGGAAGGGTATAAAAATACACAGCCACTCTGAAAACACAAATCTCAGATGTATTATATAAATAACAAAAAATAAGGAGAGTCTTGGTTGTCATGATGTCAAGTTACACTCAGCAAAGGGAGAAATGCTTACTGTTAAGAATGGATGCCGTGAGTTCTGTAAAACACGGTTTTCTGTCAGCGTGTGCGCTACTTCATCCTGAAACACAAGCAGAAGGAAATCAGCACAGTGATTCCCCAGATCAGGGGTCCATTTATAACACTAATGGAGCAATTATTTACAAGTGCACAGAGAATCCTTAATATGACGTTCCCAAAGGCTCTATCAAGGATGAACCACATTCCCAAGTTTCCCATCTACTCACCTTTGCTACAATAACCTCCTTCTTCAGAATTTTCATAGCATAATACCGTCCAGTTGCTTTTTCTTTAACTAAAATGACCTTTCCAAAAGTTCCTTTTCCCAGTAGTTTAAGGTATTCAAACTCATTCATGGTCTGTTAAAGATACAGATAAACAAGAACTGAATTACATAAACTAAAAACAAGTATATCATTCTCAGACTAGAATTTCTCATTGATGTAAGAATACATTGCATATGCTGCATATGCGGTTTTTTTAATGCTTTTGCTCAGTAGAATTCAGGAGCAGAAATGATTCTTCCATAAAAATGAACATCAGTGCACTCCCAAAGATAATCAATCAAACTATTTAGGGAAAGTCATAAGCTTTCAATTAACAGAACACTCTTTTTTTTTGACTCAACACTCAACTGTGCAAATACCACTCAAGATAATATTATTAATCCATAGACATTTTGACCGTTTTGTCAGTGCAGACATTCACTAAAAGGTACATGTTGCTTTGATTCCAGGGATTAAACCCATACCTTTTTTCTGATGTCCTCTCTTAGGGGACCAGCCGCCTTCTGCTTCAATGAATAGCACCAAAACCCACAGACAAAATGACTACTTCACAGATTAGTCATTCGCTCTTATTTGTTTCATCATTAGGGAAAATGCTGGGGAAAATCAGAATCTGTTGCAGGCTGAGGATAGTCTCTGTACTGTCATATCAATGGCCATTGCCAACATGGCAATACTAAGATAATACTAAGACTTATCCAGCCACAGGCTACTGCAGCCTCAGTTGGGGAAAAATTTTAAGATGCTCCCAACAGCAAATTTCCTCCATATTCTTCCCTAGAGCTGGCTGAGGAGACTTTCTGCTAATTGTTCAATACAGTTGATGCCAGGACCCCAATAATCATTTTGGTTATTCTCACTAACATGCTCAGAGAAAGAGACGGTTGCTCTCTCAGAAGAACGTGTATATTTGACCAACAAGGTGGTTCCTGCATTTCTGTGAAGAGCTGCTCATCACGAGCAGTATCCATTCAGTCAAAGACAGAGAAGGGTAATGGCAGCTACAATTCAGAGTGACATGTAAGAAGCCACCCACATCCGTCTAAAACCACTGACATAGCACAAGGCTGGCACATATACTTAGTGATGACACAGGTGGCTGGCTATCTTTTTTCTTTAAAAACTTCACCGGTTTTCCCAAAACTGAAACAAACTTATAAAACTAAGTGGGGATGACAATGGTGAGATGAGGACACAAAGAAGTGCCTTGGTACCATTCACAGACATAATATTCACATGATGGAAGGTTCTATCAATTTTTTCTTACAAGAGCAGGTGGGAACGCTTTGGAAAATGGAAACCCAAACAGGAGACCTTGAGAGGGTAGAAAGAAGTGAACAGAGGTTGAAGACAGATATCTAAAAGGGCTCCAAAAGGCAAAGATCACCCCTGGTGCATAGCTCTTTCATGGAAGGCCATTGCTGAGCTGGCTCTGTGCATTCAGACAATGCTGTGCCCAATGCAAAAACCCGAGCTCTAGGAACACTATGGACAGACACTACAGCGGCTGTCTGGGAGTTAGCCTAAATCCTTAATCTGGAGCAATTAAATCCACTGGACCCACCCTAAATCCTGCAAATCCACTGGAATATCTTTGCACCATCTTGCAAAGAGTTTACACAGTCACACAGTCCAGCAGGAGCTATGATTTCAAGCTCTGTATCACAGGAAAAGAGGCAAACCAAATCCAGACCTGAGCTGGCCTTAAAAGCCATCCAGTAAGGACATCTTAACTCAGAACTTCGGTGGACCCAGACAGGTTTTGCCTGGTACCTGCTCAGCTCAGACAATTGTTTCCTCCAGAAGCTGCACCTACAACCAACTGTGTAATTATTATGGCAACAGATGTGTCTTGATGGCTATTTCTTGTCTATATTTGAGAGGACCTAAAGAATATTGTTATTCCTGCTATGCTCACTTACCACTTTGTGTTTTGGCTTTGTCATAGAAACTTCCATTTCTTCAGCACCTGAATTATCACTGGGAGAGCCAGATCTAAAATCCATCATCTCTTCCTCTTGTTTCTTGAGGCTGTCTGCTACTGTTTGGATGGCTTTTGTCCATTCTTCCCTGGCAAAATATAAGCAAAGACATTCATTACTTGTGACTTTAGATTACCGTCTGCCATGGCAAGCGTCACCAAGGAATACAGAGCAACTAATGCTCTCTGATGAATCAATGCAACATACAATGAATTATGTGCATTTTCAAGCTCTGTAAAAATGCATCTTTAAGAGCACATTTAACATATATCTTTATTAATTGTACTAGAAACGAGAAACAACCAAAGTCCTTCCAAGTCTGGATACAAAAGGCTTTTCAGACAACAGAATTTCTAATAGACATTCAGTCAGCAGCTCAAAATAGGGCCTGGTGATATGGAGATTTACATAACAAAAACAGGCTTGCCAAAACCAAAAAGTAAAAGGCTCCCATACAACACAAAGCAATTAAACACAGCTTCTCCATTCCTGTGGTTCTCTGGAACACATATATCCAACTGGTCAGGGCACTATGCCACCTATTTCACATACAAATCCCGAATTTCAATGGCACAGGGTGTTGTAGGAGAAGGTATTAAAGCCCAGGATACTTAGGTTATTCTTCTGTTGTAAAGATGATGACAGAAGTACAGCAACTCCTGTGTAAATTTTAGCAGAATGTCAGCAAAAGCAGTGACATTTTATCTTAGGCACAGGTCTTGGTTACGATAAAGTTTTCACAGCTGTTTCAGCAATGGGTGCTCTAATACTGACCCCTTTGACTCCCATGGAGACCACTTCCACTCCAGTGTCCTTTGGGAAATTTCACACCTTTGGAAACTACTGAAGTGAAAGTTCTTGGCGTTCACTTCATTTCACTGCAAATTTACTGAACATAAAGCATACAACTCGTCAGGGCTTACAGAGTTTTGGGACGGGTTTTAAGGCATACAGGAACTGAAGACATGTTCAGCGGACTATGTGAATTTACCATGGTTTACTATCTTTTGTATCTATAAGGAACGGGATGTAGTGGTTTAGTTGGTATTTTCTAGGCACTAGCTAAACTCTTCTCCCATGGACACCTCAGGTAAAATACTTTGCTACTACAGCAGGAACAGAAGCAGCCAATGCTAAACAACTCTATGCACAATCTGCAATGAAGCCATGCCATCCTTATCAATGTCAAATTTTTCACTGGTTCTATGAAAACAGTTTTTAAAAAACTGAAAGCAAATCATATCTGAACATGTGAATTTCAGTTGGTGATGGATGGAAGAGGCAGATCATTCCTCAGAGGAAGCAAACCCCATGGGAAAAAGTACCCAACAAATGATTCTAATAAAAACCGCACCAATTACACATAAGGTCTTCTCCTGCCCTGTGTACTTTCTGTTTTGGATTTTGCCTGAATGTGCACTATCCAGCTCTGTCTGGGGCAGTAAGGTAATGCTAAACATTCTGAACATTCTCCCAGCACAGACTACTTCATTCACCATCACAAACACATTCCTTTATTCACTAGTAATTTTTCATATTCAGAACGATTACAAGAAGAACTTTTTCTTCTGTATTTTTGTCTCTCAAAAAACAAATGGTTTTAAAGGCACAGAGAAAGCTAAAGGCATATCTACCTTCACATCTCTTTTAAGATTTGTTACTGACTTGGTTGAGATCTCAGTCCTCCTGAAGTGAGTATCTTTGATTTCTGGAAGACCAGAATTTCACCCTCAGCTTTTATGTCTCAAGCATACACAACAGAGGTGACTAACACTCCGAGCCCTGAAATGTCACAAAGCTGACTTAATTGGCTAGGAGGGAACAAAACAAGACTGAAATACAATTTTCCCCCAAGTGGAAACTGTTATTCACTCCCTTTAGGGTCACTGAACACAAAGCTACTAAAAGAAACGAGGACCACATTTCTTTTTCTTTGTTTTTAATTTGATTCCACCTTCTTCTGATCATTGTAATAGAATCAAAGGCAATAAACAGGAACTATCTTTAAATCAGTCCATTCAAAGGCTACAAAAGAAAAAAGCAAAGAATATTAGGTAGAATTTGCTGATCTTAAAAACAAGTATGTGCCAGTATCATACCTAGGGAGGACAAGGGTTTTAAAATACCCCTTCCCCTAGGGCAATGGTACTGGAATAATTTAAGTTCAGTTCCTGAAGAGCAAGTAAATATTTAAATACTCTGTAGTTGTAGAATAGCTGTGCTGGAAAACTGTTCTCTCAGGAGGTAAGAGATCAATTCTCCAATGAAGAGAGCACAGGATGCATGCTCTTAGCTTTGTTTCCTAACAGCTGAAACAGAAATCTGCACCTGCAGCAGATAACTATCACTTTTATTATCTAATTTGCATAAAACATTAGCAATCAGCAATGATACAACTCACTTTTTTCCTTTAAAAACAAGGTGTCTAAAAAGACTTTAAAAGGTCAGTATTTTGATACAACTCAACTTTGCCTGAATCTCTATTTCACTTGTGCTCATCTTTCCAGAAACTCCGAGGTCAGAAACCCTTCATTTCACATACCACAACATTTCCAGTGAGAAATGGACCTTAAGTTTCCAGAAATAACTACCTGTGTGCTGGTACACACCTGCACCTGTCCATTTTGAATACCCAACCTAGGAACACTTCATTTACAAACATCACTCAAAAGCCATTCTCTGAAACTCCCTTTAAGGTACCATTTATACTGGAACATGCACTGAAACTGAGGTGCTCAAAAATTATTTCTCGCTCTTCAGTCTAGGCGTACATCATCTGATAAATAAGAGCTTCAGCAAAGGACTCGCTATTAATGCTGAACACTTGCATCTGCTTTTGCAAGTAGTTTATGTATTAAATATGAATGAAACATACCGCTCCTCTGGAGTCTCCACATGAAATGTTCTTTCAATTACTGTGGTCCACTGGAGGCATCTAATGATAAATGTGTTTGGTTTAGGTCGTTCTGTCTTCATCAGCTGGCACTCTACCACAATCAAGGAAGAAAGAGTCATGGTACATAAGCAGGTTTAAATAATCATTTGTCTTTATTCTTATCTAGCAAACTGTTGCGATTAATCAGCCTTTGAAATCTCTGTAAGTGCTTCTTTAGGAGACTCAAAACCATTTACTGTGTTGATAAAACCAATAAATAGCTTGGGAGATAGTCATCTAAGCAGCATCGAAATCAAATTCTGCTTAGAAAGGCTCCATGTTTGGTCTGCCCATAGAGGTAAGTAGAAATGTGATGTGATGACACAGAAACCATTCAAACTCAGATCCTACACAAAGGACATCCAGAGCAGAGCACATGGACAAAGTCAGCTGATGATGCAACAATTACATCCACTGAAACTAAAGCCAAGACCCCACATTCCATCCCTTTGACTTTCCCAACATAAAACCCTGTCCTTGGCTTTCAAGGAGTTGCTACAAAGCATGTTTGGTCATTTTGCAGCGACCTGACAAAGAGTAGACTCAGCATTTTCAGTCCTCAAACACTAGAGGGAACATCAAACTGCAGAGGCACCCCCAGAAAAGACCCCATTGAAAAAGCCTTCGGGACAGCTGCCACAGAGTCGGATGCTGTACGGACACGCAGCTAACAGCCTGCATCATTACCAGTATTTCAGCACAACCTAAAAAGGCTACACAAGTACAGCTACATGCAAAAACACTGCTACCTTCATAAAAAAGCTCTCTCAGGAGTTGAGCATTAAATTATTTTTTTTTTTAAAATCACACCTACTATTTTAAGCTTCATAGGATGTTATGAGTGTTTATTCTTCAAATTTGGGCCTGAAAATGCACCTGATTAAGGGTACGCTAGCTATACTAAAAGAGAGGATCTGAAAAACAAAAGAAAAACCAATAAAATAACAACAGAAGCCAAAACACCACATTTTTCAGATTTATATTGATAGAAAATCTAATGCTAATTAAACAGCTCCTGTTAAAGGAAAGTAAAATTAAGAAACCAAGTGAGCAGAGGGAGGGGAGAGATAATTGGGCGGGTTTTATCTTTACATTAAACTCTTTTCTTTGCAGTTAATGAAACCACAAGCTTGCTATCATTTGGTCTTCATGTTCTAAATCAAGTTCCAAGTAAATAAAAAGGCACTGTGAAGACAACGAGAAATTTCTGCTTACTGCTAGAGCTACGAACATCCTCCACCATCAGCAATGTGCAAGTTGAGGACAGAATCCGGCCAGAATAACAGTGCACATTACTAAGGCTACACTGGTATCGTTAGGTTAATTTTATTACTGTGAAAATTTAGAATGCTCAGTTTTAAATTCAAGCTCTTAATTAGCACCAAGATAAAATATTTACCGCCAGTGTTTTTGGGCGCCGTTTTTTTGGCAATATATTTCATGCCTCATTTGCTACTGGAATTATAAGCTTTTCAATGAGTAACTTTGCATTTTTCATGACAAGAAAATCTAATTTTTCTTCAATAGCACGCTGAGGTTATACCGCATCCTACTAAAGCACCGCAATTAGATAAGAGAAAGTTTATTAATGAGTCATGAAAAGGTTTTAGTGTGATAAACGGCACTCCTTCATTCACCAAGATTAAAGAACTTCCACACAGCGATGCAGCCGCGCTTGCAGAGTGCCGTATTTAGCCTTCCAGCTACCACCATCCTCTTTTGCAGAAGAGCAATGAAAGCCGAACACAACTGCACGAGCTGGTGCAGTCCAGTAAGCCTGATTCTGATAAATCCAGCTCAAAAGATCTCATTCCAGCTCCTGGATCGCCCACCTTAGCTTAGCTGCTCTTCTTTTTTTTTGTTGTTTGTTTGTTCTGTTTCCCATTTTTGTCTGCTTAATGTGATCAGATTACAGCTGAGGTCGTCCTCTATGAGCCAGCACAATGCAGCCCTAACAGATACTGAATTTGGCTGAAGACTCGAGGAAGAAAATCAGGCTGTTTCTAACCTTGTGCTAATCTAGAGCTGCTCTCCTATACTTACCCAGAAGCGCAACACTGTTAAGAAATAAACGGAAAGGTTTTGCTTACTTTTTTAAAAGAGACTTTAGATTCACATTTAGTGCCTCAGATAAAATTCTGAAGTAATAGCACAGATACTTAAACTAGCCATGAACTCTAAATTTTAACCATTTAATTTCAGCATAATAAACCAAACAAGACATTTTCTGTCATAGAAGGGGACCAATTAAACATCACCACTTTTCCCCTAAATCAGCACTGTCCATTGGTATTTGTTAAGCTTGCTGATCTAGCAATCTTTAAGGCATACAGCAAGATGAATAATAGAGATTTGTCAGTTAATAACCACTATAATTCAAGTATGTCACATAGAAGTGTTTTGTTTAGTGAACAATATGCTGTCTAATTACCCTGCTCAATCATAACAGCACATATCAAGAAATACAGAAGGCTTTACTTTTAAATTGCTTTACCAAAGTGCTGTACTACATAGGTTTCAGAAAGTTTGAAGCTACCACTTATTTCTCCCCATATACAACAATCACATGGATTTTATCAATGAAACAATGAAGCAGTAGGGTTTTTCTTACTTTTAAGACCAACTCTGTGCTCTTTACTGTAGTTGGCAAGCTACAGAAGCACCAAATTTGCCTTCTATAATCATGTACCACAACATGCACCACTACGGCACAGCACAGATACAGATGCTGTGTAATATGAGGTTTGATTCATGGCATGTTTGGGGGTTCTGCTATAAAAACATTCACACTTCAAATACGGCCAACGAAGAGTTTTTCCTGTCAAACAGGCCAACATAAGTACTCTCCATTTGCAACAAAGTACTATAAACAGCAGCCTGTTAAAAATTATTTAAATTGCTCTAAAGAACCTCTCGATTCTTTCCTGGTGTTTGGTCTTTTAAAGTAAGTAGGACAGAGAAATTGTTCCTAACAGGAATAGACACCACAGCATTCAAATGTAAATTACCATTTTGTATTTGAAAGACACTTAGTATTATCCCAGTGACTTTCCAAAATGTCACAATATTTGCTTCCGCAGCACTTAAGCTAAAAGGCAGACTACTTGCAATGAAAGTGTCAAACTCTGCTCCCTATATAATGACATCACACTTAAAACAATAATGTCAAGGAAGAATCCTTCCCATTCCTGTTGGTTTCTTTAAGGAAGGGGATGGGGTGGGGGGGAGAAAAAGGTAAATCAGGCAAGAAGAATGACGAATAAATAAAACTTTGGAAAGGCAAACAGGAATATTATGTTCAAGTGCTCCTTTTCTACTAGCACCACCGCATAGATTTGCCCTAAAACAGCTCGGCATGGCAAAAGCAAGGAGCTGGGAGCCCTGAGCTACAGACCTGGACTAAGGTGGCCCCCAGCAACAGCAGACAAAAAAGTCTGTCCACTAATCTGGCCATCCCATGCCCTCTGACTGCAGACATGCAGTCCTGTCCCAAAAGGAGCACTCACATTGTTGAACAATTATGTTTTCAGCTGTACAACAAAACCACCACAGTCAACCCTCCTTTTTGACAGTCGGAGAAATAATCCCTTCTTTCTAATAGGAATAGCCTCTCTCTCCATGTGGTTTGTCACAATATACTGCTCTTCTCAGCTATATGGTTTTAAAGGCTTATAACCTAATAGGCAGACATACATGATAATCCGAGATTACAATCGGTATGAAGGCTACTTATCTCACAGATTTACAACACAGGCTTTATTGGTTATTTATCTGCAGGGTGTCTGGAGTAGAACTATTTAGGTACAGGCTTTTTTCTTCCTTCTGTCTCACTACTGGTGAAGTACAGAACACAAACACAAATATGACTCAAAAATCACAGTTAAATGCTCAGGCACCATCTTTCAAAAGTTTTGCTTTGGGATTTTTTTGTTTTGTTTTTTAGATAAATCACCAATGGGTAACTTCCAGGAAAAATAAACTCCTTAAACATATCGTTAAATGACAGACATAGATATATGGTTATTTTAAACAGAAAATTGGGTGGGGGAAAAGATATTTCAGGAAAAAAACCGACAAAAACACCAGCCTCTCGCTTCCCGCGGGGGGGGGGGCCAGGAATTTTTAGTTTTCAAAGATGTATCATCAAAACCCTCGCAGAATACAAGGAAAAGGCTAGTGTAGAAGAAAGAAGAGCACATGGAAAGCACACTCTCTTTATTGCTAATACTTTCTCCATACCTACTAAGGCAAAAGACAGACCATCATTAGATGTTATCCTCTTTCACTGTTTTCTCCTGAATTGAATATCTCCTACCTGTCATGGGTCAATAAAATCACTTAATATGAATTTTACACTACAAGTAAGAAAAGTTCCCTAGTCATGGAAAAAAAAACCTTTAACTTGCAAAGATAAAAAAGCCTACATTATTTTACAGCAGAAGAGGGTAAAGATTTAATCAGAAACATGGGACCACTTCCAAAGAACAGACTGACAGAGACAGCCTGCCATCTCATTAAAAAAAAAAAAAAAAAAAATCTAGTTCACTAATTAACAAAAAAGGCAAGGCTATCACAGTGTCTACAAAAAAAAAAAAAGGAAAAAAAAGGATTAATTTTTACAAAACATTTAAGCTAAATTCCCCCCACCTTTCACTGGCAGGAGGCTTCTACAGGCTGTCTCTGCAGCACGAGGCTGCATTCTGGCCTAAGCCTTTTTTTACTCCTTAGCACTGAGCTATACTAAATAATTATCATTAAGTAATGCAGTTAGCAGCAACAGAATGGAAGTGTCCTGCAAAAAGTGCATTTGTTAAAAGCCTCTGGCTACAGATCAAGTACTGAATTAATTTATGAATTAATGGCTTTCTGCTGCTTTTCTTTACCTTCTTGATCCATAAGAAGATACCAGTCTAAAGAGGAAAGTACTGTGTCACTACTGAAATTAAAACACTACGACAATTCTGTCTCTAAAATGAGACAAAAAACCCAAAAGCAGTCTTGGCATCCTGCACTGAGGCACCAGGCGACAGCACATCCATTATTTATTCCCATCATCAGTCAGAACAGGTATATGTTTCTACCAGCAGAAAAAAAATGAACATTTGCATTAATTCCTAGTGCTGCCCAGCCCTCTTCTGGGCCCAGGGTTTTCCAAAATAAATCTGTCTGCTTAAAGGTCAGCTACAAAGATGAACCCCATATATTTCAAGCTACCCTGTAATGAAGAGGGAAAGCCCCTACCCTTCTCTCTGCAGAGCTTCGCTTCCACTAGTCACCAGGAACACAGAACAGATTGTTGTTAATAACAGGTGCCACAACGATCTATTTTTAAGTGATGGAACAAGACACAGGCAAACCATGAGACAGGAAAGATTAAGAACAAGAGAAAATAAAAGCTGGAAGTATACAGCGAAAGGTTAAAAACACGAGCAAGAAAAGGAAATTATCTTCAGAGTCTTCTATCACATCCTGTGCTGCAGCACCTGAGCAAAGTCGGAAATGTTTGCATAGGACAGGGTGCAGAGGTTAAGAGATGTTATTTCCAAACCCTTTTGTTGACTCTAATAGAAGAAATATGGTTTTATGTTCATAATTAAGAAAAACTGAGTGCGTTTCATTAAAACCAGAGCTCACTCTGAAGTCTCTTATGCTAACAATCTGATAACTTTGGTGTATGTCAATGCCAGTGGTATCCAGACCTGCTGGCAGAACAGAGGCTGAAATGCTTCAGCTGTGCCTACCTGCCAAGCACCAAGACACTCGCCTGGGTTAATTTTCACATTAAAGGAACTTGCTGAATAACAGGCATACAAACTATTAATAAACTCGTTTTATTCTATAACCAGAAACAGTAAATTAGTAGAAAACTGGAAAACAAAACAAAACAAAAAGGCAAGCAGAGCATCAAATCTCCACATCAGTCATTCCTGAAAAACCCAGGCAGTTTTATCATCTCAAATAAACACATTTAGTGTTTAGATACATCGCTCTGGGCAGATCAGAAAGTTACTGATGCAGCTTACCAGTGCTATGACTACAAGAAGCCATCAACCCCCAAACAGGATGAGGGAGCGTGTAAAAACACTTACGAGCTACTGAGAAGTTATTTAAAGGTGATTCCCGCTGGTCGACATCCTGCGGTCGTTCCTTGTAGCCAATGAATGTGCCATCGTTCTTTAAAAGAAAATACCGCGGCCTCCATGTTTTTATGTACTCTCCTGGAAAGAAAGGATGGGCAAAGGGAGAGAACATCAGAAAACACCCCGAAATACTGATTCGCAATTTTTTTTTTTTTAAATTTGAAATTCTACATCATCCTGACATAGTGGCTGTTTTAAAAACATTCAGTTTATTCTGATACAAACAGTGGAAAAAATATATGCACTAAGTCAGATATTGCTAGCAATGTTAACCACAAAAATGGGACTTCATAAAAGGTAAACAGCTATGTTTTGTTCTTCCATCTACTCTGATTTCCATTCAAATTCTGCAACATCTGCCTTAAATGCATTTTAAATTTAAAAAAAATCAGAGCAGATGTCCTATGTATTATTTTTGCTATTGTCATTTTTCATACTGACAAGTGGAGAAATTTTTTTCATTTACATTTTGCAGCGCAAGTATTTTAAACAACAATGGGTAATTCACTAATTAGTCAACTGCTTTATCAAACCAACAGTCACTTCTAGAACATAAGAAGATAACTCTCTGCTTGTGTTACATAACATCACTCACTCCTCTCACAACATCTCAAGCATGAAACATGAGATGATATATCACAATATGAAGGGGAAAACACTGGATGATGTATAGCCACCGCAAGGAAGAAAACAAACATCTATTCTGAAAGATATTCCACCTTTCTTGGACAGAGAAAACATCCCTTGCTCACACCATGCTGCTGCTCATCTGAGTAACCTGCACAGGTGACAGTTGCGTGACTGTGTTACAGCCACGTTCAAACTCTCCAGCAGCAGAATAGAAAGAGTTGATCAAAATCTCAGTTATTTACTGGATTTACTCAGTTGGGCTTCAGGGAAGGAAGACAGGGGTTCCACCTGTGGCTCTTCTGGGTGACTTCGTCAATGTGCCTCTGTTTCCCCCTTTGCTCATTGTCCATGTCATCATCTTCTCAGGCAGTCTCTCCAGAACCTCAAATAGCTTTACATGGTGTCAAGCCGGGCCTCTAGGCCCTACAAGGTCCTGTAGTAATGCTTCTATTTGGCTGAATCACAAAAGCCTCACTCAAGGTGTTAACTCAAATCAGGGTACCAACCCTGCTCACCCCAACAACAACCAATTTAAAAAAATAAAAAGGCAGAAGTGAAGCAGTCACTACCAAGCACCCACAGCTAGGCAGCAGCTATATCCTGCTCTCTTCAGTATGGTTTCTCACTTGTTTGTTCTACATCAGGGAGAGGATGAGGGAGTAGACTAGGGGCCAAACTTACTTCCAGACTGCCGCAGCAGGAGCCGGCCTGCGCACCACATGATGCTGCCCTTGCAGCGTTTGGTACCCAGTGCCCATGGCTTCGTATGCTGGTGAGCTCTTCAACCAACCACTGAGAGAAGCAAGAAGAAAAGGCTCCCCAGATTTGTTGGCTCTTGCAACCTTCTGCTGCTCCCCTGTTCTCCCAGGCTCCACTCACACTCTCTTTTCCTGCTGCTTGGTTCTCCACTGGCAATTTCTCTCCCAGCAATGTGCACCCCGCCCCAGGAACTCCCCTGCAGCTGCTCTGCGTCCTTCCTCTCCCCATAGACCTCTTCTCCTTCTGCAATGCCGTTTCAACCTGCTTCGGGCACCAGCTGTGTTATTGCTTCTCCGTTCAGACTCCTACTTTTCTCTCCTGCACAGAGAAGCACAAACAACCCCAGCGCCCAAGCCATGTGGCCACAAGCGTCCGCATCCCTAGCTGCTGCTTTCACCTGTTTAGCTCTCATTAGGCTTTTAATTTTCTAATCTAAAGCAAAAAACTAGAGTTGCTGAACCAGCGGAGACAGTCACACAGTTACCTTTCTAACAGCAGCCATGTCTGCAGAAAACATCCATTTGCCAGGGCATGGGGCAAGAAAGACAAGAGGAAAAAGAATGACCACAAACCTTCTCAGCCTTTCTTCTACAGACATCTGTTACAGCTGTAAGTGTTATACTAACCTACAAGGGGTTTACAAAAATGTCATCGTCACTTCATGAATTTCAGAAGAACTCGCCTATAGCTGTCATGGCTTAACATTTATAAGCAAGACAGTAAATGTAGCAGGTTTTGTTGTCACCATCTTTTTAATTCTGACCTTAATTAGAAGCTGAAAACTTTCTGGGATCAGCAGGAGATTATGAAGCCTTTCACATTTAAATTATGTATCCAACTCAGCCCAGATCAGTGAGATTACTCCAATCTCATTACTATTACACCACAGATGTGACTACAGGGACAAGAAGATACATGGCACACTCAGCCTAGCTCTTGACAAGAGGTTTGCCAGGTAAGCAGGTCAGGGAGGCAGCTGCCCAGACTATCATGATTTTGGAACACACTGTTACACACCTGACTCATTGGTATTTTCTTCTCTTGCACAAAGCAGACCCAGGAGACCTAGGAACCATCACAAACCCCTCATCATACCTGCATTTAGGACTAAATCCAGATTGGATGGGACAAAAAAATATCTGAAGAAGGGCAAGACAGGGAGTCTCCATTTCCCTTACTCCCTAATCTATGCTACATGTCTTTCCCATCAGCATTTACAGAGGAGACATTTATTTTTTGCAGATTCTGAAATTATTATCTGGTTGTTTTCAGTGAAATATGCATAATTTTACACAAAATTACAATGTACTGTCACAAGAGACCCTTCCTCTTCGATTAGATGCTTATGTTTGGCTCTCGTACCTTCTTACAGCTTTATTCCATGGATCTGTTTCTCTGTTACACACACATCATCTAACAGGATTAATCACACAATCTTTAAGATGGTGTATTCCATACATATATAGCATCCTCCTCCACACTCACTCACTCTTCACTTTCCGTGTGTGAAAATTTAAGGATTTCATTACTGCCAGGCATTTTGCAAGGACCGTTCTACTTGGACCTTCCCTTACCCATTGCTTTAGCTGGTTCTAGATCCCGATCCATCTTTTTAATTTGCAAATAAGTAACATGATTTTAAACTCCTTTTTCCACGTCTGAAGCTTAATGCATCCTGTAATATGGCAAGCATACATATTATTGATCATTGCTCTTGCCAAGGACAGTATGAGGCACACTGCAGCATCTGCGATATAAATTTTATCCTATAACACACTGAGGTTATACTTCTGCATCTTGCAGCAAAGCGGCAAGACATGGCCGGGTGTGTGACTCGCAAATCAGATAATCTGTAAGTATAATTCTACATTCAAGCCTGGGCAAACTATCACTCCTCTACAGAAGTTCTGAAACATAGATTCACCAATGCAGTCATCAAGAAAATGTACAAAGTGCATATTCTTCAGAAACAAGTTTATCTTTTTATCATTAGCTAAAATACTATGAACTTCCTACAACTTGTGAGGAGGACCACATTGATTACAACAGCAAATCCGAGTATTTTAGGCAGAAAAGGAGTTTGTCAATGCAGACAAAAAATAATTACGTGGAACTGCTGGGATAAAGCGGACTGAAAAACGTTAACACCTTCTACTTCCTTTGATACACTCGGTAGGCTGTCATGCCTGAAGAGTGAACTGAGCTGTTTCAATTTTTGCCTTGTGTTTTTTGTTCCTGTTGCGGTTTTATTTTTAAGAATCATAAGCAAGAAGTTACTTGAAGTCACTAATATTAGTAGTTATGTAGTCACACTAGAAGAATTGTACCAAGTACAGTAAATGCAAGCATGTGTGGCAAATTCTATCAAACACTAAAAAAAAAAAAATCCACCATGGAAAAGTGAACAATTTACAAAGCAAAACATTTTTTCCTCTGTGATTCATTGCTTGTGTAATGCCCTGGCAGAGCCTTCTTTGTTTTCAGTAACAGAATGCTAACACTGCAGAGACACGAAAGCAAAAGCATGGGTTATAAATCCTACATATAAAATCCTGGAACCAAATAGACTCCTCTGTAGCTTACTAGCTTTATTATTTAAAATCTTTATGTACCATTCTTTTTACTCCAAGCAATTTCCAAATTGCAAAGATTCCCAAACTGTATATATCTGGAAATATACACGAAGATTGTTATAGACTGATTTCCCTTTATTGCCTTGTGTCTGCCCCCACATACTGCACATTAAAATACTTAACACACACTTAGAATGTAAATCCATCTCATGCCAGAAAAGCTTTTTCACAGTAACACATACTGCAAAGCATGCTTATGCCTGAATATTTCAGAAAAAGTTAAACATAAAACTCTTTTGGTTCATGAAAAGTTAATTCTACTGAGGATTTACAATAATGCAGGGTTAGGTTATTTTCCTTTCCTCCCCACAACAGAATCTCACCGAATCTGGAGCTGTCTACCACTGATAGAGTGTCTAACATCAGAAACAGCTGCCACTCCCTGGGAAGCTCATGGGGTAAGTGGAGAATAATGAGCAGCAAGCACCAGCAGAACAAAAGAAAATCCATCTTTATTTACCAACTGCTGCATGCTTGTTGCTGCATCAAGCTCATTCAAAGCCAACACCACACCCTTTAATTCAGAACAGACTATATTTAAGAAGGCTCTGCTTTTTTTTAAAATCAACTCATACATACCAATGGTTTGGAAAAAAAAAAACACAAACCCCACAACATTAGGTTAACCAAGTCAGCATCCAATGATAGCCTTGATATTTACAATAGCACTGGACCAACTGTTAACTTTCTTATGCTCACAAGTAACTAGAACAAGTCCAGGAGCACTGACTGAAAACAAGGTCTCTGTTATATAAAATGCACTCAAGTGTTTACCACTAATCTATGGATAAATAATGCATTAAACTTTCCGCTCTGAGCATCAGAAGTAGCACCATTAATGACAATTAAGGTTAACACTCAAAATATTAAGAGCTTTTGAGTTATGCAAGCCTTCTCTACGTTCCCACACGCTCCAAAGATGTACAACATTCCTTGATTGTGCAGCTCTGAACTGTCCAAGGCAAACACGAAAGTTATGCCAATCGCAGCACTAATGTGCCACCAGTCAAAGGCGGAATGACTCATTTCTGAGACTTCAATGGTTGCGAGAAGCGG